CACAAGTCTATTGATTGGCACTGTTGGTAAGGATACCTTAAAATGTGACTATTATGGAAAGACTAGACATACCAGAGAGTTCTATTGGATTTTGACTAGATGCCCTACATGAGGCTGATGTGGTGGCCATGGAAGTAGCCAAGGGAGTAATATGCGATCTCATGAAAATATAACTGAATCTTTAGAAACTTCATCTCAGTCTACGCCATCTAATTTCTCCTAGGATGAGATGCAAATTCTTGGGCGCTTAATGGCTCGGGTTGATGCTCCCAATCATGCCTCTTTTGCAAACTTTGCTCGTACATGTTCTTTTAGCCTTTTCTCTTCATACGTTACATATTCTGGTAGGAATAAGGTCAAGATAATAGATGGATACTTATCCTCTATTTTCGTGAAAGATTCAATTAACTGTTCATCATGTTTATTTCTCTCCTTTGTTCTCCATGTTCCAAATTATCCACCAACCTATTGTCTGTTAGTAGCATTATAAAATATTTGAATTGTTCAGTGACTTTTTCCCCCACTCATTAGACCTTTCAAGAACTGGAATCGAGAAAAATGATTGGTAGTAATAGAGTACATGTTGGTCTATATCTTCTGGATGCTGAAGCTTCTCCTAAGTCTACTAGTCAAGCTCTCCATACAAATGGTGTTCAAGCTCTTCAGTTCCTACACCCGTGGCATTGACGTTTAGAGCATCTCTTATTTGGTGTCGTAGAGCATATTTTCTAGTGTAGTAGACAATTTTTTGTTTGTGATGGTAGTGACCTAAGCATAAATGCCACGGTTCAAGGTATCGGTCGAGACCAATACGACTAAGCCGAGTCGTATCTGCCTCAGCCACCACCGAGACGATACTGATACCCGTTATGGAAAAATCCGAGTCGCTCTTGAATCAATTAAGTATCGGCCCAACTCGGTACACATCGACTGAATCACCGATTCTGATCCGATTCAAATCGATTCAAGCTTATTCGAATCGATATATTTTCAGTTGTACCATATAAATTATAGAACCCAACATAGTAAAGAATATGCCAAAAAAAAGAAAAAGAAAAAGGCAAAAGAGATGTGATAGAAGATGACTCAAAGACCCAACTTGCATGCAAAATTCAAAAACCAATGGATGAAAAAGAAATAAAAAAGATCAGCCTTTAGAAGAATCAAAAGCCACATGATTTCTCTACAATCAAAAGATTTCACATACAATTTATATAGGCGGTGAATCCTAAATCAAACCCTTTTTCATTTTTTTCCCATTATATAAATAGATCAACAATTAACAAATAGCATATACTTGTATAGTATCATAGACGCTGACACATAGAAACCCGTCGTCGTCTTCTTCATTGTAGATTCATGGAAGCTCTAGCACTGCAGTTGCAGACGAGTTAGGTCTTTCCCAACGAGCCTTAATCTCTTTCTCTTGCCCTCAATAACGAGCGTCGACCCTTCAGTCTCTCGACCAATCATCTCTCTATTCTATTCGTTAATGTCTGAGAGGTGAGATTGAGGAATGAGTCAATGAGGCCTCAAGATTTTTATTTGATCCCTTATGATCCAAAATTTTATGTCCCCCCCCCTTTTTTTTTGCTTTCCCAGTTTTTCCCCTCTCTCTCAAACAATTAAAACAACTCCATTGGTTTTAATTTTTCTTTTTTCTTTTTTTGGTTTCCAATGGTCCCATAATCTAAACCGAGTCCCACTTGTGGGTTTTTGGTCTAATTTTTTAATTATATAATTTTTATTTTTTGCCACATAATCTAATTAGAAATTAACTTATTAAATTTCCTTTTGTATATGTAATGGAAGATTTATTAATTAAATGTAGATAATGAATAAGATACATATAATTTTATAGTTAGATATACAACAAATAATTAAATGGACAATTTTTTTATAATTAGACTTATATTTTTAAAGCAATTAAGTTAACTATATATATATATACACTTGACCATAGATGATGATAAATTTTTTTCAGTAGCTCCCTTATTATTCTTTTTTGTAATGATTAATGTGTTAAATAATGCATATTGGGGATATGATGCATAGATGATGTTTACATTTATTAGAATTTTTTTCTAATTTTTTCAATTTTTTTTGAGCCTTCTATATAGTGTTTTGAGCTGCCGATACCATACTGTGCCATCACTACCGATGTGTCTCAGTGGCTCTCTAGTCAAGAGCCGATAACGCAGCTTTGAACTATGATAAATGATTAAATGGTCATCTTTTCCTAGTACTAATAATAGAAGTACTGCTCCATTTATGCTTATTCATTCTGATGTGTGGTGTCCTTCCCATATGGCTACCTATTGATATCGTTGGTTTGTTATATTTATCGATTGTTATTCTTGTGTTACTTAGGTTTACGTACTGCGTACTAAAAGTGAAGTTTTCTCGTGGCTTAGATATTTTCATAAAATGGTGAATACCCAATTTGATGCTAAAATCAAAACTCTTTGGAATGATAATGGAATTGAGTATATTGATAAATAATTTCGTTCTTACCTCAATGAGAATGAAATTATGTATCAAATCACTTGCATTAGTATCCTTGAATAAAATGGTCTTGCGAAGCAGAAAAATCGACATCTTCTTATTGCTGTTTATCTTATTAATCGTCTACCTTCGAGTGTCCTTAAGTTTAGGTCCCATATTGAGTGTATCTCTGCGTCTTTCTCCTTTCCTTATGTTTCTTCCTTACCTCCTAAAATATTTGGGTGTGCTTGTTTTGTCCATGATTACAAATTCTTAAGGGGAAAACTTGACCGTAGTGCCTAGAGATATGTCTTTGTTTGTTATTCTTCCACTCAAAAGGGATATAAATGCTATCATCAACAAGCTCAGAAAATGTTTGTTAGCATGGATGTTACTTGTCGTGAATTTAAGTCCTTTTTTACTACCCAAACATCTTTTTTGAGGGAGAATACCACTATAGAGGAAGCTATAACTTGAGAGGAGATTCTTCTTCAATTGCCTGTTCATTGGAATGTGAGTTAGGGGGACAACAACATATGGAAAAAGATGGTATCAATGATAACACATATGGTGTTCACCTTGACAAGAATAATCTGAAGATTTATTCTCAGTGTTATAATATACAAATTTCCCATGTGCCACCTAATCAGTTTACTTCTCCTACTCCAGTTCTATCCTCCATTGAGTTATCAAGTAATGAACCTTCAAATGTTACCCATGTTATTGATAATCCTGTTGTTGATTACTTTTGAGCTTCCTATTACAGTTAGAAAGGGTGTACATGTTTGTACTCAACATCCTGACTTTGTCTCTTATGATTTCTTGTCGCCATCATATCTTACTTTTGTTTCTTTTTTGTTTTTCGTATCTATTTCTTAGGGTTGGTGGGGAGGATTAATATATCTCTTACATACTCGGTCAGATATTGTTTATGCAGTGGGTATTGTCGGTCAATTCATGTATGATCCTCGAACTCCTTTTCTTGAAGTTGTTTATGGCATCATGAGGTATCTCAAGTTAGCTCCAGCAAAAGGATCGTGGCTTCAAACATTACTGGGAGAGCTGAAAATTTATGATGATGGACCTATGAGACTATATTGTGACAACAAGGTTGCTATCAACATAGCTCATAATTCAATTCAACATGACAGAACTAAACATATTGAAATTCATTGGCATTTCATTAAAGAGAAGTTAAGGGTTTAATTTGCATGCCCTTTGTGAAATCAAAAGAATAATTAGCTGATATTTTCACAAAGGGGCTTAGTAGCAAGGTTTTTCACCCCATTGTTTGCAAGTTGAGCGTGAGAGATATTTATGCACCAACTTGAGGGGGAGTGTTGTGTCATGTGTTATCCTTAACTTGAGGATATTTTGGTACTTTATGGATGTGATTACATATAAACAAGCCGAGTGTTGTTATGTAACCTAATACACTACTCTCTTCCCATAGTCTTCTCTTTCTCTCTTGTTTTCTTCTTCAAAACTCTTACGGTTTTACAATCTAACTATTTCCAATGCATAGTAAAATAAGCTTAAAGACTTTATTTCCTCTTGAAAGGTTTCTTAAATTCATTGGTGACTATTAAGTTGGTTCTTGTGCCTGTTTAGATTATATGTTTAAGGTTATTAATTATGAGTGTGGTCCCATCATATATTCCTTTCGAAAATGTTGCAGCCAAATTTGCAATATTACTCATTTCGTATAATTCAATGTATGAGTAAGTTATCTCAAAAAAAAAAAACAAAAAAATGAGGAAGTGAACTAGTTCTTGTTAGAATTTTGGGCTTTTCGCACTTCGCACCCCAAAAAATATCTCAATTCCTACTTTGTACCCCAAAATATTATTTTTCCCACATTACACCCTGAATGTAATAAATTGATTTCAATGTGGCCCTCGGACTAACATCTGTTTTAGATTTCGTTAAAAATTGATGTATATGCCACCTAAGGATATGAATGGTGAGTTTACATTTTTTCCCGAGAGCAACACACGTGGGTGGCAATTGTATATTGGAACTAATTTATAACATTCAGGCGTAATGTGGGATAAATAATCTTTCAGAATACAAAGTGGGAATCGAGACATCTTTCCGGTGCAAAGTGTGAAAGCCCTAGAATTTTTGTTTGTCTGTTCTTACTAGTTTCAAGTTGGCATTACAATCACACACACACACACACACACACACACACACCCCCCCCAAAAAAAAACAAAAAAAACAAAAAAAAAAAGCAAAACAAAAAACAACCAACAAAACAACACCAAAACCAAAAAAATGCAAGTCCAATTATGTGCTTGTTGAACATGTGCTCACTTCAACCTGTCTGTTGCTTGTGCATGTGAATATGTATACACACATTAAAGAATTTTTAAAAGAGAATACATAAACTTGTATATCATTTATGCGTGCGTGTGTGTGTGTGCAGTTTTATTTGATCCTTGGAATGCTGTAGTTTTTGAACTCTTTCTGTTGCCAATACCTTGGCCATTATGATCCTTTTGTTCACAATTTCTATGGTTTTTTCTACAAGGGGAGGTGGCAATGCTGTTCAGATTGTGCAACGGCACCACTTTGTGTCTCATTTGAAAAGAATGTCAGTTGTCGTCCGTGTTGAGGAGCAGTTCTTTGCTTTTGTGAAGGTAAGCATATTTCTTGAGTTTTGCCTCCATTTTGTTTTGTTCTCTTGGTAAATTTTTACCTCACAGAAAAATGAGTTTGCATTTTTCTTTCTCACAAACTTATTTTTAAATATATGCACATTGAAAATGTTAAGATGAGCTTATAGCTTGGGTAGGGATAGATCTGAAAATGGGTTGGGACTTTGATTTTGCGACATATATTAGTAATTGTGGCCTGATGTTGTGTACACTTAGTTTGGAAGAATGATACTTTGTTTTTCTTTTGACTATATAGATTATGTAAAAGTCGTTCTGCAAACAATTGCATCAGCTTTGTTTCCTTCATAGATATGCCTTAGGCTTATTGTTTACTTTTATCTCTAGATGATTTTACATAAATTTGTTAGCTTCTAGCAAGGATGAAGCTTCTGTTGTTTATGGGAATATTTCCTTTTCCCCCTTAACTTCTTTCGAATTGTTGGGAGTTTTCTTATGTCCCTGTTAACTAAACCTCCTCCCCTTCTCATTTCAGGGTGCACCAGAAACCATTCAGGAAAGACTTGTTGACGTACCCTCATCATATGTCCAAATTTATAAGAAATACACACGTCAAGGATCTCGTGTTTTGGCCTTGGCTTTCAAGTCCCTTCCCGAAATGACAGTAAGAATCCCTCTTCCAATGATACTCTCTTTTTTAATTCATATTTTTAATATCTTATTCAGTGTATACTCAATCCATGTGGAAATGGCCTCTCTACATGCCGAGATAATGTTGCGCCCATCCGACTCTCCTGAGACCCGGCCACTCATGCATTGGGCTGCACTTTTTATTATATTTTAAATTGTACCTTGTTTTGGTAAGAATGTACAGGCTTGATGTGATCTCTATATTATCGACACCAGGTCCCTTGTCATGAGGAACAATGTGGTGGCAGATCTAAACCGAAGCAAGCAGGGGCCATGTGGTCACACAAACACAAGCAGCTCACCTCCATTGCCTTTCTCTCCCACCTTGACAATCCACTAGATACACCACCTATAGAAGTATAGTGTATTAGCATGACATTTGCAAAATTTATTTTCTTCTCTAGCAGCCACTTAAAATGATAGGGAAATCTTTAATCAACATTAAACATCCAGGGAGTGGTGAATTTCTCAAACCTCAAGGAGCAGCATGTATTTTTTAGCAAAACTCTAGGGTGCTGAGTGTGATTTGCTTCTCTTTTAACTAAAAAATATAGAACTATAATTGTAAAGTGTGTACAATTTTAAATTTCTGTATATGGCCATTCTCATCATCTCCTTGTACTTCTTTATGACAAAAATAGAATAATTGGAAAAAATATTTTTTCCTGAGATGAGAGATGTTGGATATGATACTAAATTTAATTTGTTTCAGGCCTTGATGAATGTTGATTTCACTTTGGCAAAAGAAAGAAAAGAAAAGGTTAACTTCCAGGTGCAAACATTTCCTATAATATAAGAGGACATACTTTGGCAACCCCCCCTCCCTCCTCCCCCCCAAAAAAAAACCAAACAAGGATCCACCACTTATTAATGATTGCCAATAGCATTTCTGCAGGCACTGGTTGCTTATTATCATGTTTTAAATTCTGACTTGGGATAGAGATTGGAAAGGTGAATTGATTTCTTGTAATTCAAATCGAAAATTTTTCCTTGCAGTCATGCATGATTTTCAAGATTGAGTCAATGTGGTGGCTATCTTAAGCACAAATCTTCATTTATATATATATTTTTTTGAATGATAGTATATATATGCTATGTGGCACTTTTCTTATTTTCTGGAAATTGTCTCTCATTTATGCGTGTAGGTTTAAGTTTATACTTCTTATTTGGTGAGTGTTTGAAGGTTAGTGAAGTTAGAAGCATGGACCGAGAAATGGTGGAGAGTGGGCTTACATTTGCTGGTTTTGCGGTAAAAAGCTGCCTTCCATTATGATATTTGCTGTAGTTGTTTTTGATTTTGATTTGCGGGCATGGTTTTCATCAGTGTTTTGAAAAGCTCGCCTAGGCGAGAAGCGAGGCGAGGCGAGCTTATCTCGCCTGGAGGACCCCAGGCGAAGCGAACGTGAGCGAAGCGAGAAAAAAGCGAGAAAAAGCGAAAAAGCGAAGAAGCGAAAAAAGCGAAAAAGCGAACGCTTTATTATAAAAAGCGATTCTGCTTCACTTTTTTTTTTTTTTCTGATTATAGGTTTGTAGTCTCTTTTATTTTTTAATCACTAATGACTTTTTTTTTAGACTATTGCTGGTCTATTTTTTTTTTTTTTTTCTAATAAACAATGTTTCGAACAAAACACATTCCTTTTTTTTCCTTGTGTTGTTGAATTCATTTAGAATATTTGTGGGATGTGGGAGTCAGGCGACTACACTGCATGACAATTATGATAAAAAAATAAAGCAGGAGTATCAGAAATGGGGGTAAATAATAAATTCTTCTACAAAGAAGTGTCTCTGATATGTCTTGGTTATACTTTTTCCTTTTCTTATATATATACAAATGGTACCAAAAAGTGGTCTATGGTTATACCATGTTTAATTATTTTAGTACATGTGAAATGTGCCTCTGTTTTGCTTTTTTTTATTCAGTATATAATTACATATGAAATTGTTTACAATTGATTCTGCTCCTGTCATGATCATTGTGCTTCTGTTTTTTTTTTTTAGCTCATTCTGCTTCTATTTTTTTTTTGTTGATTCTGTTGCTGCTTCGATTTTGCTGTCCTGTGTTGCTTTAATTTTTTTTAATTGTCATTCTGCTCCTTTTTTTTTTTTGTTGCTAATTCTGCTGTTGTCCTGATTCTGCTTCTTTTGTTGTCCTACCCTGTCAATATGAAAATGTATACAATTGTTAGTATTTGTTTGAATTTAAATGTTTAAGTTATGACTGTTATTAAGATTTGAGATATTATTAGTGTTTTTTTTAATTTAAATGTTTATGGTTTTACTTGCATTTAAATATTTAGTATATATAAAATTAGAACTTAGATTGTTTAGAAGTAATTAAACTAAAATATATATTTTTTTTAACTGTTCGCTTTGCTTCGATAAAGCGTGTCGCTTCGCTTCTCGCTTCTCGCCTAGGCGTTAGGAGCCTTGGTCGCTTCGGTTCGCTTTACGCCTTAAATAACACTGGTTTTCATTATGATATTTTCGCTCTCACTTAATGCTCTTCATATGCATTTCAGGTGTTTAATTGCCCTATTAGAGGCGACTCAGCCAATGTATTGTCCGAACTAAAAGGATCATCACATGACTTGGTGGGTAGCACTGCATCTAAGTTGATTTTACTTCTTGTCTTTTTCATTTTAAATATAGCTTTGGCATTATCTTTGGTTACTGTATTAGTTAGTTTGGTAAAGGGGTATTAAAATTTAATAACCTAAAAAAAAAAATGGTGTTAATTTGTCCTTTTTATGGTTCAGACTTGAGAGTAGGTCCATATCCGGAGTTGCTTGGTTGACTTGTTCTATTTCTTTGGGTCAATTCTATATGGAATATTACTGCTACAGTCGTCACATGTTTTAGTGTGTATTCCCATTTTGTTTGTACTAGAGTACATAGGATAATCGTTGTTTAGGATGATATATACGCCTACACTCTATTTTACTTCTTTGACATTCCTTTCTACGGTTGTAGCACTTTAACAGACACCAATTATTTTACGTAAACAAGGTTTTCTTTTCTTAGTTGATGATAACAGGTGATCAAGCTTTGACGGTTTGCCATGTTGCTGGTCAAGTTCATATTGTTTCAAAACCTGCGCTGATTCTTAGCCCGGCAAAGAATGGAGAAGGATACGAGTGTGTTTCACCAGATGAGACTGAGATTATTAGCCATAGGTAAATACTTTTTGTTTGCGGTTCTGATGATTTCCAATTATGTTAACCTTTCTCTTACATGTATAGAGATTTTTGATTTATTTTAATTGCTGACTCTTATTGTGCCATGTAGTACATATCCGTGTCAGTTTCTTGGGACAAGCTTGTTCTGTTCTTTTGCATCCTTTTCTTATTCAAATACCCATTGGATTACTACATTGACATTGCTCCATTGCTGACTGAGCATAGAAGTAGAAATATGTGGTTTCTGTAATTCTGTGTCTGTATTAGGCATCACTTATCTCAACGTTATTTACAGTGAGAAAGATGTTGAGGCTTTAGCAGAAGCTCATGATCTCTGTGTAGGAGGCGACTGCATTGCAATGTTGCAACAGACTTCAGCTGTTCTTAAAGTCATTCCATATGTGAAGGTTTTAATTGATTTATATGTTTGAAACTGATCTTTAATGATGACAATATCATGACAATATCATGACAATGCATATTCCAAGTGCCAGGTTTTCGCAAGGGTTGCTGCTGAACAAAAAGAACTCATCATGACCACTTTTAAGGAACTAATGATGTTGGAGCTTTGAAGCAGGTTGCCTATTGCATGCTTATATTTCCGTCTGTCTTAGCTTTTTTAAGTTTGATGGGTGTTCGTCAATTTTCTAGAGCCATAATCCCTTTCAAATTATTTTCTCTGGCTGTTGACAATTTCGAGCCAAGTACAATCTTATGTATTAATGCAATGTGCAAAGCTGACCCGGATTTGTTAATTCAGGAATGTCTAGCCAATTGAACCAATATCTTGGTTCTCACATTTATTGATGTCACAATTTGGCCAAACCATCTGAATTTGTTTGGCATGAGTTTGTCAACCATGCAATTTCCAGCAAATCTGTCAGCACGGCAGTGTGAGTTCAGAATGGGTTAAATGAGCCGCCACTTTGGCGAACTCAGCCACCGTGCAGGTTGTGTTAGTTGTGTTGCCATCCATATCAGGATTATAGGGTAAAATGAAACCTTATCGGCAGAAAAAGCCATCCTTCTCTTTCTACATTCTCACGCCCATGCCCATTGGTTGTACTTCAAAAAATATGCATACTTGTCATATTTAGTATTGTTCTTTGTTTAATCAAAGGACCTAGTCTAATAGTTCATTCATTTTAATTACCCAGTAATGGAATGCAGAGGGCATTTGATGCTTGTTGCATATCTTCTGTTATAGTTTAACTGAAGTATATGAACATCTTTTTGATCCACAATTTGTTTCATACCAGGCAAATGCAAGATTTCCGTAAGTAAGGACGTCTATAGATGTTTCCCATAATTGTGCATCCCACTTCCTGTTGTCTGAATGGCAATGAATATGGAATCTTGTACAAACCCCTGGATTTGTTTTCTCTAATTTCAAAACCTGTGTCTTGTGGAGGGAAGGCTTCTCAGGTCACTAGTGCCCTGATCTATTTTTATTGTCTGTGTGTTGCGAGATATAAATTCTGTTTAGTTTATTCAATTATGAGGAAGTTAGAGATAAATTTTTTGGCATAGTATATAGCTTCTTCAAATTCAGAAAGATGCTGAAAATTAATACAATACTTTGATACTATTTTTTTAATGTTCCTTTTTCAGGCACACGCAGGATTAGCTCTGCTGAATGCAATGCCTCCTACTCAAAGTGAAAAGGCTTCGTCCGATTCATCATCCAAGAATGAAACTTCAAAACCTGCTAAATTAAAGAAACTTAAGCACATGAAAGAAGCAGGCAATGCCCTTGATATAAATGGAGAAGAGACTTCAAAGAGCAGAGCTCTTGCATGGTCAGAATCAACTAGGCACACAGCTAGTTATCACCATCTGATAGCTGCAGAGATGCAACGGAAGAAGCTGAGGAAGCTTACGGATGAGCTAAATGAGGAGGGTGATGGTCGCTCAGCTCCCATTGTTAAGCTCGGGGATGCCTCAATGGCATCACCATTCACGGCAAAGCATGCATCAGTTGCCCCTACAATTGACATAATTCGTCAGGGTCGTAGTACTCTGGTGACTACTCTCCAGATGTTCAAGATACTTGGTCTTAACTGTCTTGCAACTGCCTACGTCCTGAGTGTGATGCACTTGGATGGTGTCAAATTGGGTGATGTTCAAGCCACGATCAGTGGTGTTTTTACCGCTGCCTACTTTCTATTTATCTCACATGCTCGCCCTCTTCCTACACTTTCAGCTGAACGGCCCCATCCCAATATTTTCTGCTCCTATGTCTTCTTCTCTCTCCTGGGACAGTTTGCCCTTCACCTTTTTTTCTTGGTTTCTTCTGTTAGAGAGTCTGCGAAATACATGCCAGATGAATGTATCGAGCCAGACTCTGATTTCCACCCAAACCTTGTGAACACAGTTTCTTACATGGTGAACATGATGATCCAGGTGGCCACTTTTGCTGTGAACTACATGGGCCATCCTTTCAATCAGAGCATCTTAGAAAATAAACCATTTTTGTATGCCCTTTTGGCAGTCATTGGTTTCTTCACGGTTGTCACCTCTGATTTATTCAGAAACTTGAACGACTGGTTAAAGATGGTCTCTTTGCCGACAGCTTTGAGGGACAAGCTGATGCTCTGGGCGTTTCTCATGTTCCTGGGCTGCTTCCTCTGGGAAAGGTCCTTGAGGTGGGTTTTTCCTGGTAAGATGCCAGCTTGGAAGAAGTGGCAACAGCTGGCCGGAGATAACCTAGAAAAGAAGAAGCATATCTGAATAACTATCTGCCTTTCCTGAGATTGTTTCAGTCCCAGGCAACTAGAATCATGCTATTGTATTCTTTCAATCCCTCCAGGGAAATTGATTTTTTTTCTCTTAAAAACCAGTGTAGGAAATTTCTTCCTTTATCCCTGTCTAGTGAAGATGGAGGGAGCTCCCTACCAACGGTTTTCTTTACATTGTCAATGAAAAGAATTTTATTTAAGTGGTATCCATGAATTTATGTACATGGGGGGTGCTTCCTTGTGTGGGTATCTGTGGTCATTAACAAAATATGCATGATCATTGGGTGGAAACAACTTGTTTGATTTCTTTTCAGAAGTTTTTGTTTTTTGGATTTTCTTGTTTCATTTTAGCTATGTATTTGCCAAGTAATGGGTTGATTTATCCTTGCAATCTGTAGAGATCTAGATTTAGTTTTAGTTACACTGATGAATTCGCATAGGCTACCATGGAGCTAATCAATTATTTTCAACTCTCCTTACAATTTCAATAAGCTGCAAGGAAAAGCTTTTATGTCTTAATCGATTAACAGTGAATTCCAATGAAGCCAGTGGGAGAGTTTTCTACAAATTAATATTTTTTAATCTATTTTATTTTCTTTTTTGACTGTTGCCTTTTGTGTCGGATAAGTGTCTATATCTGAAAGAATGCATTTTTTTTAGAAGGCTGAGTAATGGAATATAAATTTTGTCCACTAATCAATGGGATTACGATGCTCTTGCCCGTTCTTTTGTAGTTCCATTTGGCCCAGAGCCAATTACAAACATTGGATGCGCAAATATTTGATATGTTTTGTTCCAAAAAAAAAAAATAGGGAAAATTTTATTTTGCCTTCTGAAAGATAAAAAAAAAATTTAATTTTTTGCCCAAATGATTAATGTTTTGACATTAATCCTCAAAGAATAAAAAAAGTTACAATGAGACGGTGGACAGCATAATAATTTTTTTTATTCTTTAAGGGGACAATGTTGAATTTTAAGAATTTTTGTATCTTTTAGGGGCAAATGAGATTTACCCAAAACAATATTGATATGTCCAAAGATAGGTGCAGATGGTGAAACGAGTTGGTTGCATTTTTTTTAATAATTAATTAGGTTAGAGTCTTTCATTTGGTGTAAACTAATTTTAGTTTTATTGAATTTTTAATCTACACTACTAATAAAGTGGCTTAAGTGAAATTTTTTTGATTTCCTTATTTATCCTTAAAAAATTATATACTATCTATTTTATCATTCTTTGAGGAATTTTTTATTGTTTTATTAGTTGCATTATTTCAACTATTAAATTCATTGTTTGAGTTTTGATTATATTCTTTTCAAATAATATAAATTCAATCCAAATTCAATTTGAACAATGTGATTTGAATCTAATTCAATTGTCCAATGAACTTTATTTTTCATAGTGTATATATGAGTTCGTTAAAATAGATATTCATTCGATCTGAATAAGTTGATTAGAGACGATTTTGGCATTTAATGCATGAATTTTTACTCAATTTTATTAAATAATCACTAAATTATATTATATGTTTGTATACGTTTGTAGGTATGTATAGTGCATAGCCAAATTCACTAAAAAAAAAAAATTTAAATAGATCTAATAATCTATATACTTCTTTTGAATGTCAATATTTGTCAAAAATATTTAATTGATAATACTATCCTTAAAAAGATAAAAAAATAATAATAACTTATTGTAGTAACTTCTTATTAGTCTAAGAAATTAATAGTCATCCATTTATTAATCACTTCCTGAAGTTAAACATTATAGTTTTTAAATACAATGCAATGCAATTCAATTTTTTTTTGAACCTTGTAAATTTCATTTTATACGACCTAAAATACAAGAAAAATCTTGAACGTAACAATTATTTCACGTCTGCAGTGCCACTTTGTGTAACTGTTCACTAACAAGAGAACAAGTAATCCCCATAGAATTCAATAACCATCTCCATGTAAAATAAAAAATAATTAACATTATCTAATTTTTTTTTACAAAAAGTCAAAATAATTAGTGTGTAATGCACGAGTGCACCAACTAGTATATAAAAAAGTCCTCTGAGTTTTTCAAAAAATTGGATGTGATCCCTATATAGGTGCGAATGTATGGAGGTTGGACAGTTAGTGTGCTTTCAATATTCATCTTGCTCTCATCATATGATTTCAGCCTAAAATACAATTAGTTTCATTTTTTGTTTTTGCGTTTGTTGTTGTCTATTAGTTTTGAATTTCAAATTCGTTAACCTTGGTAAGTTTAAGTACATGTTTGTTATGATTTATGTATTTAAATTGCATTTGATTTTATGTACTTTTGTATTTATAATGATGCATATGTATCTTACTCTGTTGTATACCTATGTAAACATACATATATATATTAATTACTTCCCTCTTGTGTTTGTTAATACATTTTTTTATTTGTGTAATCATGAATGTTTGTAATTGTGATAACCATTAATATTTAATTTTTAGTTTTATCGAAGATGAATACGGAACTCCTATGATAAATTTGTTGTTATATATTCATGTACCTCTTTTTCATTTGTATGTTACCCTATATTTTTTGCTTCCTTAATTGGTCCATTATTTTTTGTGTTTCTGTTCTTATTTTTTGATACGCTATTTTAAAAATATTTTCATGAGATAGATGAAAATGTTTAAATGTATGTTCATTATGTGTTAATTACATAATTAATCAAAGAGACATTTGTCTAGATATTTCATTTCGGGGTATCTTTTCCAAAGATACATTAAATTCAACCGCTATTTGATAAAATACATTTTAATGTTCCTGCAAGCCACCAATTAATGGAAATGTTAATCGAAAATAATTCATCTTTTTTTAGTGTATTTATCTAACGATCTATGTTTTTAGAGAATAACGTACAGTATGATGACTTATCTTTTCAGAATAGATATTTTAATTATGTGATTACATTGTCATTATTTTTACAATTTTAAAGATCGTTAGTTATGTCCATTATTTTAACGTTTCAACAAAGACTTAATCCAAAAACAAATTAGCGAATAAATTTTTTTTTTTAATCATATTATGCCTAAGTACCGACCTCCAAAAAATTTTTTTTTAAAAAAAACTAACACATTTTTTGTTTTTGGTAATTTTCATTGGAACCTATGATTTTTTTGCCATAACCCTATACCAATTCTCTTATTGCAACAATGACACCACGACATTTTTTAAAAAAAATTGTTATAATTGCATTTTTTTAGACATCGAATAAATGACATCAACAAAAATAATGTTTAAAACCTTATTATTGCCACCTTATACTTGCTTGGAATAAAATTAAACTCGTATTGAAACTTATATTTGATTTGATACGATAAAAAAATGAAAAGATAAAAAGTTAGAAAAATAACTAAAATATCATGTTTGGTAATGAAATAAAATAAAAATGATGAAAAAATAGATGAATTAATTATCTTTCAAACTTACCAAAATCAATCTTTTCAAAATTAGGGGGAAAAATAAATAAAAATTTAATTATTTGTGTTGAAATATATGTTATTCATATATACATCTTTTAATATATAATTCATATTTATTAATTATATATTATGTACGCATTAATTTCATATATAAATATAATGGTAAAATATGTATTTATATTTTTCCTAATAAAAAATTTAAAAATTAAAAAAAATACTTTTTCCATCTTATCAAACAAAAAAAAAAATCCATCTTTTTTACTTGTCATCTCTCTTACCAAACACAAAGTAGAAAATGAAGGATTCCCCCTTGAAGGATGAAAAATATATCATTCTTATTATCTATAATTATATTTTTCCACTCACTCCACCAAACGAACCATTATTCTTTATTGCAAAAAATTGATCCTCAAATTCATCATCATCCCTTTTTTTTTTTTTCCCTTCTTAACATCATTTCCTTTTGGCTACTATTTTTGGTTATAGCTGAAGTTATTTTTTAACATTTTACTGAAGAAAAAATCCTCTTCTATCCATTTTTTAATTAGTGAATTTTTTTTTTCTTGGGATTTTGAGAAAGTGCCTTAGATGAGATGAGTCACGCAATTGAACTGCTAACGGATTACTGAATTTCAAGGAAATACAAAGATTTAAGTCATGCCCTTACTTGACATCCTACCAGTTCCAAGTTTGTCGTCGCTCCAAGACCGATAGCATAGGGAAATTTGTCTACCTCTGGAGTGGTGCTTTGAGGTTTAGGGCCTGGCTCTTGATCCGACTATCAATGAGCACATTTGTAAAATCATCATCTGAGAGCAAAAGTGAGAAATGTACCCAGGTAACAACCAAACAAACAAGTACGGCAATTGATGATCAATGGCAATCAAGGCTATTCGCAATTGCTAGTCCGTCGTCAAGTATGGCAAGTGATGGGAGATGGTAGTGGTGTGCAAGTGCAAGGAGGGCTTCCAGGCAGAGGCAGTGAGCAAGCAGAGGTCTTTCCAACCAAGCTTGAGGATGCCATTGTCCTCCACCAGTGTATAACCATCGGAAGGGAACATCCCCAGCAAGAGGGTGGCCTGTTCGGCAGCATTGCCTGCCAGAGAGATGCCCCTGAACCCACACTGCTGTAGCTTCTCCCTCCAATTGTTAAACTTCACCTGCCCACTCCTGGACGGACCCCCAACTGATAAAACGTTCCGAATCTCCCTTGACAGAAGCTGTTGTTCAACTACATGTCTCTCCTCGCTCTCCTCCCCGTGGCTTGCCCCTAGCGAGTCAAAGAGTGCGGAGTAGTAGTGTATGGCTTCTACGAACCTTGCCAAGAAAGTTCCCGCATGGCTCAGGTCCTGCTCTACCACGGTCATCACTTTTGGGGCTAATCTGAAACCATTTTCACATCCCACTGTCCCGTCAGTCACCCACACACAGGTATTATAATACTAACAGGGATCAGCATAATAATTGTTCGACAATATTTCTGCGTTCAAAAAAGCATATATATCTCTCTCAATTGAAAAATACATCGCCGGGGATTTTATGAGAAAGGTCACCCAAAGGAAAGAGCCATCATATGGTATTCTCGCGTTTTGCAATTGGTAGGAGGTAAAAAGGAAAGCATGTTCCATGAGAATGACTAGCCATTCAAAATAAATTATATATAGGCATCCACATATTTCTGGTAGCAGAATACATATTTATGAGTAGGCTTCTCCAAAACGCCAACTTTTTAAAAGCGATTTTTTCTTGGCAGTCATAGCTTTATTCGTCGGTAAGTCTTAATCCTTGTTTACAGAGAACTTTGGGTTGATTGATATCTATTTGAAATTAACTAATCATTAAAGCGGTAAGAAAATGTTGTTTAGAAAAGAAATCTATCTGATATGCTAGGGGCTAAGGGGTGGTGACCATTACGTACCTTTGCAACAGCCAGAGGGTGTTGGTGTCAGAGCCGGTGACATCGTAGAGGGAATGTTGCAACCAGTGGACGGCAACGGCCTCCCTCTTGCTCACATTCAACCTCTCCGGATCCAAGTTCCCTACTTTCTCAGCAACTGGGAAGAACTCAAACGGAAGGCCCAATTTCTCTGCAAAATCTGACAAGCGCTTGCCTGTGGCCTCAAGGGCCTCCACTGAGGTGCCCAAGCCAGTGAGGCGAACGAAGGGAGGTCCCCCGGCCCGAGATGCCAAGATGTGAAAAAGTCCCGGCCACTGCAGGCCTTGCATAATGTCGAGGTCTATGATGTGCACCCTATCCTCCCTTTCGAAAGCTTCCTGTATGGCCTGGTTGGCCGTGAAATGCGAGAACTTAACGAAAGGGCTAATCCCATTGAACACCTGGAAGGCGGACACTATCTTCTGCCTATGCGGCACCTTTGGCGGCGTCGCGTATATCCCCAAGCACGAGCTCACCAGCCTTGCAGACATAGCCTCGGAAAAGTATGCAGCCACCCGTTGCGCCGAAGTTCCAAATGGCGTTGAAAGCTCGGAGATCTCAAGCAGCATCCTGTTCGCCTCTTCGAGGTTATCGGCCGATACAGCCTCCGCACACTGAAGGAGCAAGGTAAGGAGGTGCAGACCATCTTCGTCTCTCTTTTGCTGCCATTTTTCTTCTTTCTTCTCCCTTGTGATATTGGGTTTGGTTGTGGTAATTGCAGCTGCAGTTTCAGTTGGCGCAGCCACACAGTCTTGCTGTCGTTGCTCTTTGGATAGGGCCTCAGGAAACTGCTGTTGCTGTGACTGCAGCAATTGATTTGAAGGAAGGACAGGTGCAGCGGGAGGCTGGCTGGTAGGGCTGTTGTTGTGAAGCTGTGGGCTGCAGTTTCCACCGGCTGTGTTGGTGGTAGTGCTAGTGGTAGTGGGTAATGTGAGTCCCCAGTTTAAATATTGATTCATGGCATGCGAAGCGGCAGAATCTGGAAGTGTATGGGGCAACCGGTTGTCAAGATTGGAATCCACATAGAGTCTTAGTCCAGATGGCCCTAGTACCTGCCCTTGTTGGACATGAACAGCATGGGGTTGCTGCCTCTGCATACCCGCGGACAGCAATTCCTTTCTTCTCCTCTCCGGGTAATTGGGGATCGGATCCGTCAGAGATCGGAGCCTATACTCTAAAAGGGTGGCGAGATTAGGATTGCAAGGGTATATGATCTCCCTCACGTTTTGGATGAGCTGAGGTATTGAGACATGGGTAGTGCTGTGGATAAGATCCTTTATGATCCCGTCTATCCATGCCGTTGCCGTGACATCTTCCATGGAAGCAATCGTCGTACTAATGCTGCTGGTATTTGAGGTTGAAGCAAAAGGGGCCGCTACGACAGCAGCCGAAGCAGGAAGCTGCTGCGGACTGGCACCCACCCCGGCTGTGATTCGATTTCTTTCAGGAGGGAATAGGGGCAGACCCGAGAAAACGCAAACGGAAGGGATCTGAGTTTGATCTGCTTGAAGAGGAAGATGAGGATGAGGTGATAAGGAGTCTGTGCATGTTACGTTTGTGGTAGTAAAGGCAGACCCAGACCCGCCTGACGTCACGCTCAAATTCTTAGAAGAAGTTAGCATAGTGGAGTAGTTGGGGACGTGGGTGGAATGTGGGTTAGGGTGGATAATAACATCTCCACAACCAGAAGCAATAGTACTGGCCAAAGGAAGACCCGGATTGGAAGAGAGAACACCAACGTCGGCTAGAGGATTTACTGTGGTAACGGCTGTTCGGCGGAGAAACCTATGATGGTACTGGCCAGTCTGGAGTTCCATCTCCGAAGCCACCCTCTTCCTCACCATCTTACTGTCGTCAGGTATGCCTTGATTGTGTTGGTTTTTTTGCGGACGATGATGATGATCGTTAAGTGGATGCGATGGGATGTTGATTTCCTTGCTGCCGTTGCTGTTATGACTATGAGAGGCGCTAGTCAATGGACTCCCTCCGCGGCTATTGCTGCTGTTGCCACTGGCATTAACATCTGCATCTCCGCCATTGTCACCGATCAAAGCAAAAGGCGCCATATGTGGAACAAAAGGATATAGTTGCTCTGATACTTCCTCTTCATAGAGTTAACGTTTGGTTTGGCTCCGGCTTTTATTTTTCTGATATGTCCAGAAGCGAGTTACTACTTGAGCTTAGCGGCTCCAAACAGATAAGGGTGCAAGAATTGGGACAGGAGCTTGGGATTCTGTGGTTCTCTCCTCAGATAGGCTTTTAGCTCTCAACCCAACACGATCTCTTACGGCTTTTTCACCTATTTTAAACTGTTGGAGACTTACCTTTTGACGTATCTCTTTTGGTGGTTTTATGGCAGCTAAGTAGAGAGGGTGGGGGTTGTGGGAGGACTGGTGGATGAATTTATTGCGATGATGAAGTACTGAACGGAAGAGATCCAAAATAAATTGGTGTGGTGGCATAGTGAAGGTTTTTCATATTTTTGCTGGTTGTCGATATTTATCATCTCTTACTTGGGCTTGGATTGTGTCTGATTTGATCGA